AACTGGGAATTGTGTTTTCGCTTGAGATGAGCTTCGCCATTTGTGCTGATATACGGTAATATGTTGAAGCTTGGTTACATGATTGGATTGTAATTGGTAAAGATGCTTCCTTTCTTTCGTCTTTTATGGGAGTATTTTGGATAGTAGATTTTAGGCAAGAGAAATGAACTTGACATGCTATGTCAATGCTGTTTTGGTCGACACTTTAAGCATTCGTGCAGAAGGGTTGCCTGTCATGTGGAATTTGATGTATGTTACTCTTGAGAGTTTTTTAGACTTTATGAGACTTTCTTTAGGTGTGGATTAAGCTTCTTTGTTTCTGGGTATCAACAATATGGTGAGGATGGTGAGTTGTGATTTAGGACTTGGTGTTCAAACTAAAACGAATTAAAGAGCTGGATAAGATTTAGCGTATAAATCATAGTAAACTGTGGGATTTATTTCAACTGTAGCCACCACCACGTGTTGTAGTACAATGTTGTCCAAAGTGGAGATTGAGTTAGAAACATCACGGAAGTTAATAACCCGTGTGATGAAGTGCTAGAGCAAGCACACACACAAACACACACACAAAAGAAGAGAGAAAAATAAAATGAAGAATATCTTTCTTGCATGTATATGATTGGTATCATTCAACGGGCGAGCTAATTGAGCTATCTTCCTTTTTGCAGATTGGTGCATGTATTTGAGGACACAGGATGAAAATTATTTTCTTTTTCTTTACTAAAATATTGTTGAGCTCCAATATGGTTTTGGAACTTAATTGTGTAAAAGTAACCCAACTCCATGTTGAAATTGATTTTTTATCACAATTGTGTAAAATTTATAGTTTTTGAGCACCATAAATAAATCCCTTAACAATATGCTTACGCAACATTCTTTTAATTTCAGGCTGCCAGGAGTGCTCGTGTTCCAGTCATTTTGGATGCGGGAGGATTCGATGCACCTATCCCTCTGGAACTACTTGAATTTATTGATATCTTGAGCCCAAACGAAACCGAGCTTGCTCGTCTAACAAATATGCCAACAGGAAGTTTTGAACAGATTAGCCAAGCTGTGGAGGAATGCCATAAAATGGTCAGTATAGATTATATTACATAAGTCTCCAGTTATTTGTTCGTTTTAGACAAGCACAAGCTCGTTTCAGATCTTATAAGATGTGCTTATTTCAGATCTCCAGTTAATTTTTCATATAGAAACTTGCAATTACCATTTTTTTTTATCAGGAATGCCAGGACGCCCTAATTCTGAATTAGTTTCTGATATAAATCAAATATATTTCATGATGAAGAGATTAATCATTTAAAATTCTCTTGGCAGCTACTTTATTCACTGTATATACAATTTATTATTCGCATGCATCTATACTTCTAAGTTCTAACGTTTGTAAGATGAAAAATAATGCTCCTCGGCTTTTAGGGTGTTAAACAAGTACTTGTGAAACTCGGAGCCAAAGGGTCTGCATTATTCACACAAGGAAAGGAAGCACTTAAGCAGCCCATCATATCAGCTCCTAAGATAATCGACACAACAGGTGCAGGCGACACTTTTACAGCGGCTTTTGCCGTGGCTCTCGTGGAGGGAAAATCGAAAACCGAATGCTTGCAATTTGCCGGTATGTAAAAAATTCTATATTTATCAATTAATCTTTCTTTTTATCGATATATGTCATTTAAGTCTGGTCTCACCCAAAAAAATAAAAATAAAAATTGTCTTCTTGAATAATTTTTCAGCTGCAGCTGCTTCACTCTGTATTCAAGTCAAGGGTGCCATACCGAGCATGCCTGATAGAGACTCGGTTTTGAATCTTCTTCATTCGACTGTTTGAGGACCACTCAGTTACAAATATACCCTTGATATATGTTTTTCTATTACAAAGTGCCACAGTAAAGACAGTAACAATTTTGAGGGCATGTTTGTAATATTTAAAGATAATGAACTCTTCTCCTTCAAAAGAGTACTCTTTAGCTCTTCATGAGTATGATGATGTAGCCCAGATTTTTTTTTTTTTTTNTTTTTTTTTTTTTTTTTGTACAGTTTGTGTTGTATGTTTCAAAAGATAAGTCATTTTTTTGGCATTTGAAAACCATTGTTGAATGTTTATCATCATGGGCAATAATTATTCTTTTGGGGAAGTTTTCTTGGCCTCAGCTTTGGACAATATGTTGTTCTTGTTTTTATTTTTTCCAGTCAAAAACTACAATTAAGTATCTCAACCCTCACCAACAATGAAAACTATATGTTAGATTACCAAATTGATCAATAAACTACAATAAAATGTCAAAATTTGGAAACTAAAACAATGTTTTTGGATTACTCTATTTGTGCTTTTTTTGTATGGATAAAAATCATAAAATACAAATTGTACATGATTTACATTGGTAGATACGAAAATAATCACCTACCAACAGTATCAAGATCTCGTGATCTTCCAACAGACAATGTACAAGGTTTACAATTTGCTCATGATAGATGGACATTTCTCAAGATAAAGCAAACATAAGTGAGTATTTTGCACTACAGAAACAGTAACCAGAAGCTAATTAAGTCAAATTTCAACCCAAGTTTCCATTGTCATCTAAAGAGAAAGAAAGTGAGGGCAAAATGTCACTTCACTTTGATATTCTACAAGACTCGAAGTCTTCGGAAGTAAAATAACACAGCGCCTAAGGGCTTGGGGGCTAAGTATCTTGTTCCTCGGTCTTGGTATGCTGCTTGAGGTTAAAGTTGTCATTTTTCACAGGGACGGTTCGTCTCCAAATTCCAGCCAATGTGCTACCAAAGATGGAGTGGCACACGCTAGATACCGCGCACGGCACTGCAGTCAATGGGTCCCCAAAGTGTTGAGTGGCGAGCACTACCCCAAGAACTGAGTTCTGCAAAACCCAAAAAGAAATGCAAAGCGAAAAAATCTATAGCAAGCTTATCGACTCAAAAGCATAAATACCCAAAAAAAAAAAAGGAGAAAACTAAATTACCTGCATGCCAACTTCAATAGAAATCGTTCTCGAAGAAGATACATCAATCCCAAGAAATCTTGAGAAAACATAGCCGAAGAAAAACCCGGAAGTGTGCAAAAGGGTCACGGCAAGAAAAGGAAAAATGAAAAGAAGCTCACTATATTCGTGTCGACTTTGTATTTTGAAAAGTTACTTTTAATTTATTTTAACCTCGTAAATAATTAATGTCGATACAAACTAAAACCTGCAATGTCGACATGAATAGACCGATAGCATCTACAGCAACATATTGCCCTGCGAGTTTTGCTGTGAGGTAAGGGGTAATGACCTGCAAAATGGAAATAAATTGAGTCGATAAATTCAGTCAATTTTTCAGAAAAAGTAGTACTAAGAGAAGGAAAAAAGAATAATAAAATACGAGCTACTAATAGTCTACTAACCACGGCTGTGAGGGTACTTGCAGCTGTCATCAGCACAGATAGAGCCACATTCCCACTGTAGCGTAACATAATAGCTGTGAAGATTGAGGAAATTATGGATAATCATATTTATCAATTAATGACAGTTAAAAGGTTTTACTTACCGTGCAATGTACGTAACGATATTACTGGCTGTCCCTGAAGAATGACAAGGAAAATGCAGATATTTAAACAACAGATTAATGAAAGAGAATTGTGGTAGAAATACATGTTAATTACAAAAAACGGCCATGATATTTTGATAAATAATTGATTTTTCTTTATCCTCAGAATGTATTAAACAACTTATATTATACCTCCAGGACAGCAGCCCACTAGAATCAAGCCAGCTGCATAATAGGTTGGCAAATTTAAGAGCTTGCTCACAAAAAATCCAGATAAAGGCATAATCTGCAACCGAAGCTTCTTCTATAAGTGAGCATTAAAGATTAAAGGAATACATCTCACCAGTTCATTACACAGAGCATTATATTATCGAATTGCAAACTGCAGAAATAATAATAAGCAAATCAAGATAGCTCCACAATTTTCGAATAAATTTACACGCCAAGACTTCCAAATCACTCATATATGATGTACAAAATGCCTGAGACTTTTTTTCAGTGTCAAGCCAAAAGTTATGTACAAAATGCCTGAGACTTTTTTCAGTGTCAAGCCAAAAGTTACCAACATAATTAATTATCTTCAATAGCGTCAATAATCCGGACTAACTTCCTCTAGTTTCAACTTGGTCATTCAACATAGTGCAGCAACTAGTTTCTACTGATCCTATAACTGATGATTTCCTTCTTGAAGTAGAACAGTAAATCACCAGCACCATTGACAACAAATATAATAAGTTGACCAGGTCCACCAACTGGAGCCGATTTCGAGCTCCCTAATTGTGAGAATAAACCATAATAATAGTATATTTTCATAGTTATTGTCTAAATACAATTGAACGAGCAGATCATTAAAGACATCAAAAACCACTCAGCTTAAGAAAAAAAAAAAAGATTTACAAAACAAAAGGGAAAATGAGAAGAAATCAGACAAAAGACAAGTAAAAGGGACTACCGAATACTGCAAAAAGAACCCAGCTAACAACTCCTTCGGCATAGCCAACGCGCCGCGAAGGTCGTCGAAAGTCAACGTCATCCCCATGCCGAGCATGGTGACGGTGATGCCCATCACTGTCCACTTGGGCTGGACCCAATCATACCATCCGGGCCTCAATAGGCCCAACAAGCAGCCCAAAGCAACCCACACCGGAAAAGCCGTGGAGATGGCCTCACCGACCGCCTCGATCCAGCTCTTCTTCTCCGCAGTCAACGCGCTCGAAGAGTTGCTGCACAGAAGGGGCTTCGGCCTGGGAACCGCACCGAAGCGGGACGCCGCCGGAGAAACCAAAAAGGGCTGCCGGAAATGGAGTTGGATTTGAGGGCTTTTGATTCTCGCCGCCGGAAACGGTTTGGCCGGTGGCGATTGTGCTGCAGTTGGGGTCGGGGATTTGTGGAGGCGAGTAAAGGGTGCTGAGAAATTAGCTTTAATGGCGTGAACGTTCATCATCTTCTCCGGCAGCTCAACCTCGTTTTACAGGTGATTTTGTGCTCTTGTGGTGATAGTTCAGTATCAGTAAACTGTATTGTACCTATTTTTTATGACAAAAAATAGATAGACTAAAAGTTAATTGTTATTAATCCACTTGTGTTTTTATGTATTGCAGTGTAGTTCAATAGTTTAAACAAGTTAGATTTTTTTAATTTTACTTTTGGCCAATGCAATTTTGCACGAATTATATCCCAAATGCATAGAGAAATCCAAAAAACGAGTCGAATCGGATAATTCATTGCAGTTCAGTGTTTATTTTTTGTTTCTTTGGTTCGGCTATTTACATTGAAATATAATAACATTGTTCAATTCTATCTTAGATAATTTAATAGTATTACTTCTTCCTTGCCCCTTTTCAGAATAAATATACCTATTTTAAAACCACAAATAGATAAAGTTAAAATTTATATACCTATTAAAACTACAAATAGATAATGTTAAAATATAATTTATGTAGGTAGAAATAATTACCTTTTCATGTTAATATGTTTTATCATAATTAAATTGAATATAGCTAAAACATTATGGAGGATTTCAACCTATTATATATGTTACCCTGGACGAATATGCACCTATGTGTGAGTATGGCGGGGTATGTTGATCTAAGGGGGAAAATTCTAATTGTAGTCACCTATAAGGTCAATTTTCTCCAATTTCATATTGACCAGCGGCGGACGCAGAAATTTTTGTCAGTCAGGGCAATATAAAATAAAAAAAGTACTCAAAATTTTTTATGTCGTGCTTATTACATACGAATTTACCTTCTGCAAGAAAATTTTCCAGTCACATTCTTTTTCTCTCATTTTCCAGTCACATTCTTTTTCTCTCATTTCTTAGGAAAAAAACTAAAAAAAAAAAATTTATCTCGATTCAAAATTTAATTGAACTCCATTATCCTAATTATTATCATTATAATTAAATAATATCATCCATTCATTCTTACACATTACATCAACTTTAATTCACTATTCATCCACTCACTTAATTTTAATTAACTACCAATCATTTATCTCCTACTTTTATATCAAATCAATTTTAGTCATTTTATTTTAAATATTATTTTAATACATTCTTAAATTCCCACTAAAAACTAATCATACTAACTTTTTTCAAATCAACTCTAGTTAACGAAAAAAAAACAGTTTTTTTCTAGTTTTTTTATAAACAAGCACGACCTTACTTGCCCTAGCTAAATCCATAGCATTGACATTGACAATATCTTGATCAAACATTTATAATTCTAGTGATAACTCATTCATTACATCTAAAATTTGTCGCATTAGAAGAAGACAAAATATGAAATTAAAGGATTGTATGTCCACAAACAACAAATTACATTGTCCTCTTTGACCAACAATAGCTCCATCCTCGATTATCATTTCAATAAATTTAATTATAGAAGAGAACATAGAGATAATGTTCAACTTTGTTTTATATAGACTATTAAAAAAACTTAAAATTGTTTCTATTATGTCTCGCAATTTCTTCAATTTTGCTTTTTCTTCCTAAATATTTATTTGAAGATTTTAACTACATATGTTTAGCCGCAAAAATCCAGCCTGGGCAGGCCATAGTGTAAATCCGCCCCTGATATCCGCCGCTGCCTGTTTCATCAACCAATTCCTGCACCCATGTGATGCTATTTCTCAGATGATTGGAGGGATTTGGATTGAGGTTGGGTAGGCTTGGTATCCAGGAGTGTTCCCATATATTGACTTCAGTTCCTGTTTTCACTGTGTAGATGACATTTTGAGAGAAAAAATCCAGAGTTCTGCCCCAGCTCGACCACAGCCATGATCCATTTTGCCTTTTCTGAGCTGATATTAAGGATGAGTTGGGGAAATATTTTGCTTTGAGGACTCTGCTTACCAAGAGGCTGGGGTTAGTGCTCAGTCTCCACATTTGCTTTGTGATCAGTGTCTTGTTCATGAGGTGGATGTCATGGAAACCTAGTCCACCTTTTTCTTTGGGGAGAGTGAGAAATTTCCATGATATCCAGTGTATGCCTCTTGAGCTTTCTTTCTTTGTTTTCTACCAAAAATCAGCAAGGAGCTTGGCAATGTTTTCACAGACTTTTTTGGGCAGGATGAAGCAGGACATAGCATATAGAGGGACTGCCTTGATGAGTGTTTCTTTACCTGCACATGTCAGAAGCAGGATGAAGCTATTTTTTACATAAATTCCAAATTGCCCCCATTAATTAATCAGTCAATGTATGGTCTACTCTTATCAGGCCATGCTACCAAACTGACAATTTCACTTCTTTTACTACATTCTTGTGTGGCCCGTGATTGAATTCAGTTATTACACTCACACTCGCCTTCAAACGGTGTGTCTCATTTATTTCCAACGGCTACTTCAAACACACACACACACCAATTAATCAAAAAGATTATATGTTACACCAATCTCGTCGGTGATTCTCACATGAAACCCCACACAAAATATTGTAAAAACTTTACCATTTTTAGTCATCATCACCTCATTCTTCACTTTCACAAAAAAAGGAAAAAACAAAAAAAAAGCTAATCTTTTTGCTCCTAAATCTTCTTTTACACTAAAAAAATGGAGGCCTTATGGAATTTAGAGGACAAATTGAACCTCACGACTCGAAAGGCGGTCGCGTTTTTCGCATGCACGGTCCTACTAGCATTCGGCTTGTGCCTAACCGTGGTTTATTTTAGGAGAAAAATCCTCGACTCGCGGGCTAGCATTCACCAAGAGCCATGCAAGAACGAGACATCGTACGGGCCAATGCGGGCCGGGCATTCGGGCCGGTGCTCGGTGGTTCGGGCCTTGATGCGGGCCCTTCGGTGGAGCGGGCCGAGCTCGTGGGCTAGCGGGCTTAGGGGGAGCCGGAGGTCGGAGGCTCCAACTTCCCTTCTGGTGAAGAAGTGTGATAACGGGGGAGATGTGGGGTGGCAGAGCAATAACTCGACTTCCGCGGTTTGGAAAAAGCCGATACTTATGGGGGGAAAGTGCGAATTCCCGAGATTTAGTGGGCTCATTTTGTATGACGAGAGGGGCGCGCCACTTGATCAGCAGTGTGAGCTAGGGACTCTGCATAAACAGGTAAATTTTCCAAAGATAGTTGCATGCATGATTGCCCCCTGTAATCTAGTTAATTTTTTCAAAATTATGCAATGTTATCTATTAAATTTACAGATATAACCCAAGTAATAGGTTTGTGTTTGAAAGATACTGTGAAATGGAATAAATACTGAGGCGCTCGCACTCGTGATTTTTTCAAAGATAACCGGGTGTGTCTTACCAATACACTAAATTTGAAGGGCTCTTTTGCAAATAAAACAACAAGTTGACTGGGAGCTGCTTTATTTGCATCATATTATTCTTTTCATCAATTTTAGCAATAACTAAACAAGATAACCAACTAATCTTGCAAGTGTCGTATTTTTATTTCTATTATATTTTAGAATAAATATTGACATTTCAATTTGTAAATATAAAAATCTGTTAGAAAAAAGTATGACCAACGTTATTGTTGCAATATTGCTAGGTAGTGGGTGTTTCTGCAATTAAACAGAAATCCAGGGGTAATTTTGGTAATTAGGCATTTAAAATTATGATCTTTTTTCCACTTACATGCATTATGTATATGTGTGTGCGGCATGTAGGAGATTTCACCTCCAGCTGTGAGAACTACTCTAAGGGACTTGCTTTGATATATTTGCCTATGGAATTGGCCTTGAGGAGCTCAGAGTTTAATTTTACCCAAAAGTTCATTAATAAAGTGCAAATTTATTTGTTAATCTTGTAATTTTGTGTTACTTACATTTTTTACTAGACATGAGGCCCAAGTATGATTAAGGAACTTGGGCTCAGGCTTATCTTTTTAACAGTCTTTTTTATCATCTGAGTTTTCCCTTGTTGTTGTTCTGTCTTTGGCATGTAATATTAATAATAAGAACCAATAAATCAAAGCTTCATGCACACAAGCAAAAGCTAATATACGGTAAGTTTGGTAGATTAAATTGAAAAGTTAATTGATAGTTGATACATTATTTACGAGTTGAAAGATGATAGGTTGNAGTTCAGTGGTCTATTGGTCATTTATTGTGGGGTCCGGTAAAGAAACCCAATTAAAATTGTATACGTTTAGTTCTGGCCAGGCCCACTGCAAGCCCACTCGAGTGGCCCACACTGAAAGCCTGAATACGAAAAACGTGTGGCCCCCAATGCTTTTCATATACACACAACACAAATGAAGTTAATTTCGTAAGACAAAATATAATCAAATAAATAAATAAATAAAATGAAAGCTTTTCAGACACAAGTGAAGTTAATTTCGTAAGACAAAATACAAAAAATGAAGAGTTCAATGAATACAAATCCAAGTGACCAATTCAGAATGTTTACTTACTCAAAATGTGCACATTAAGTTATATTAAGCTACAAAATTGAAAATTTTGCTATTCTTCAAAAAATTTTGCTATTTTTCAACCACATATATACTGCAGTATGAATATGATAAAGTAGATAATTGAGATCAGTTCGATAAAGTAGATAAGTGAGATCAGTTCGTTTGTATATCATAATTATGTTGATTAATTATGATGGCAATAACTATTAAAAATAGTTTGGATAAATGCATAATATTAAACCGAACGGATATAAAAGCTATATGAAAGTTCGCATACTCGCTTAGTAACATGTATAATTACTCTTTCGCATCTTGAGAAAATATGAGTATCCGTGGTTACAATCAAATAGAACAAAACCAAACCTGTATATTTCTATTAAATATATTAAATACATTATCTTTTTTTATAATAATATAGAATTTTGAGTAGACTTAGTTAGGACTCTAGGTTTCTTAAAAATTTCCCAAGTATTTATTTAAATCTATGGCCACAAAATCTTTAGGTTTCTATATATGCCTATGCATTTTCTAGTTAAAGGCATGTAACAACATGTGCCACAAAATTTGTTTGGTACCCTAACTATGCATAAAAATAGCTATAAAATTCTATTATAATATTGAGAACTATAAATTAGTCCGAAAAGGAAAATGAGTGGTACTGATAGATATAAGACAACAAATTATTGCAGGTTAACTTTTACAAAATATAATGTTACACATGAGAAAAAACTCCGGTGCAAAATTATATCATTGCCCCAAAATTTATTTTATTAAAATTTCTTCTTCATCTAAACATGAGAAAAAGTTAAACTCCTGCAAAATTATATCATTGTCCCCAAAATTTATTTTATTAAAATTTCTTATTCTAATGAATTAAACATGAGAAAAAATTAGCAAATGAATAATGCTTTCAAAATTGACTTTATACAAGTATTATGTTTAACCTAACCCTGCAAAAGCTATACTTAACCAATACAAGAACAATATTTTACATGGCCCATGGCCCATGCAACAACTAAGCTTAAAGGACGAAACCTTAAAAATTCAAACTACTAGGGGTGTTCATAGTCCAGATTGGTCCGATTTTAGCCCAAATTATGACCAAATCGGAACTAAAGGTTAATTTTTTTTCTTGTCCATAATCGGACTGGTTTTATTTTTTAACCGACGACAATCTAGACCGCATTGGACGGTTCGGTTTGACGGTTAACCGGTTAAATCCAAATTGTTTTGGGCGATCAATTTTTATTTTTTTCATTTTGGGCTTAAATTTTTATTTTTCAATTTTGGGCCCAAAAGAGATTATTTTGGCCTAAAAATTAAGAAAGACAACAATAATGAAATAAAAAACACACAATTCGTCTCCTGAGCATAAAAATACACATTTCGTGACTTTCTTGCTTGAATATATATATATATATATATTTGTTATAGTTTTTTAATATTTACCGATCCGGTCCTGTTAAACCGGCGGTTTGCCGTAGGTAATCCGTTAACCGGACCGGGTATTCTGAATTTTAAAAAAAATTAACCACCAAATTTTTTAAGGCTTTTTTAACTGACCATTTAACCGATCCGCGGTCCGGATTGACGGTTTTTTTCAGTTAAAACCAGACCGTGAACACTCCTAATCTCACCCTTGATAATTAATTTACATAAAACTGCATATTATTATGATTATAGTTATAATTAGCATCTACATGCCTAACATTGCTTACTAATTATAGCCTTAAATTATAGGATTTAAATAGTTGGAATTGACTAACAAAGGCCATATGGTTAGCTTTAGTTGGTCATGTTGTACCATCTTAATTAATTACACTTATTTTCCACCATTGAAGGGCAGCTCTAATAGAGGCACAGCTTAGTTGACCGTTGATTTTAATTATAAATAGTAAACAATTGTGCCATATAAACTTACGAATATCAATATTAGCTAACCTTTTAATACGTTAATTTGTTCAAATAAAAAATTGAAAATAACATCGGATCACATGTCTACCACGTTAATCAATGACAATAATTCTATGGAGTCATTAGATGGTTTTTCTTATAGAATCATCCATCACTTAATGTGTTGACAACTGTCAAAAGTGTATTTATTGTCGGACACGTGTCAATACACTACTTGTGAATAAGTGTGGATGACTCCATAAGTCTAATAGCTCCATAGCAAAACTGAAATTTTAAAGATAGCATTAATTGGATAGTCGCTAAATTTTATTATGCATAAGAATTATTCAATATTAGATTTGCAGGATGCACAATCTGCAGAGTGAATCTGATTGCACTTACCATATCTTGTAAATTTTATTTTAATATGCATTCCCAATTTACCACCAAATTAGTCTCATTAATTTGAGATTAATTTTGTTTGATTTTTTACTTAACTATAAGACACATACAAAAATGCTATGGAGCCGTGTCCAATGTGCATTTATTGCAGGACACGTGTCAATACACCATTTGTGGATAACTATGGATGACTCCATAAGCCGAGCCATCCGATGGTTCCATAGCAAAACCAAAGACTCATAATAACACTCACACACGTACTCAAAAAGTCCACTTATTATATTCTCCAGAAATGGTG